GCAAAAGCCTCTTGTGCAAAAGCGGCTGCTAATTAATTATGCAAATGAAGCACGGTGATATTCCACTCTGCACTTCATTTGCATAAGCTTTTCTGCAAGAAGGCTACAGTGTAGATGTAGCATTAGCTACTAAAAATAGTTATGCAGGTGGGCTTCAGAGCCTGAACTCTAGCTTGTGCTCCAACATCTACACAGTTGTCTTTATTGCTGGAGTGTGAGCCTAAGTCTGCTGACTTAGGCACTGAGGTTCTCTGCCACTGGCTGTGGGATAAACCCTGGGAAGGCCCGTCCTGGAAATGGCTTCATGCAAGAGGAGCCCTGACCCAAAGCAAGCCCCCCTCACTCAAGAGGACTCAGCATTCTGTCCACAGTGAGGGAGTCACAGGATCAGGGCTTTAACATGTAAGAATGAAAACACTAGCATTTTCATCTCTGTTGTGTGCTTTTAGAGTAGATGATGTCTCCCTTCTGAGCAGAACTCCTGTCCTACAACTAGAGAGGAGCTGAATGCAATATCAGGTTGGGAGACTTTGATGTTGCCTTTTTTAATCATGGCTGCTGTACATAGAGTGCACTTACAGAAGCAGGATTGAGGATGAACTTTTTTAAACAAGTTGAACACAAGAGTCTGAGACATTCGACCTATTTTTTCCACATAAGTGGACCAGTTCAGTGAATCAGCATATACTCTATTTCCAAGAGCACACACCTATGTTAATTGTATTTATCACAACACTGCAATCATTTATGCCTGGACAACATAGAACATGATTACACAAATCAAATTAGTTACTTACATGTAAGAGAATTCAACACATTAGGGAGAAAGGCACAAAAAGCACTGCCTGCCCACATTTCACTAATGTACAAGCCCGTCTACTCAATTTCTGGTATTCCATGGTTTGGGTCTTTTCTTTTCTCAGTGAAGCATCACAGTGTCATTTTAGAATCCCTACTGAATATGTCAGATAGGTGAGACTGTCATTCACAGGCAGGGGTGGATATAGGGCAGGGCGAATGGGGCGGCCGCCCCGGGCCCCGCGCTTCAGAAAGCCCCGCGCATGCGCTGTGGCACCGCTGTGCATGCACATGGCGCCGCTGCGCATGCGCCGTGGCAAAGGGGGAGGCCCCGCGGAATTATGCTGCCCGGGGCCCCGCAAAACGGTCATCTGCCCCTGTTCACAGGGTAACATTTTGGGACAGTGCGTGCCAAATAAGTTCTTGTCACAGCATTTAGAATCCGACAAGCAAACTTTAAAATCCAATCTGTCATTACATGGTGAGGTTTGCATTCCAATTACCTTGCTTTGGCAGCACATGTATTTGTATTGTATATTCTGCTAAGCACTGGCCTCTTTGGCACCTCTCAAATTATGGATGCAGGTTTTTTAAATATGCAAATATTGTTTTGGCTGATGATTCAATGTACGGCAGCATATTAAGAGAACTGCAAAAACCTCTCTATAAATCACAGTGCATCTCATGCACTATAAAATGGTAAAACATAGTGCACAGTGGCTCACCTCTAAACTGTTACGGAGGTTACCTGGATACTTTGTACAGTGGTTAGAGTGGCAGCTACACTGTCTAAAAGAGATCTTGAATGTCACCTGCAAAGTCAGGGCATGGCACGTTGTACCCCTATAAAGCTTTGGATCACTTTGTCTTGCTTCTATTCCATTGGAATTCTAGTAGAAGGGAAGTAAAATGACACATAAAATAACAAAAGGGGATACAATGGGAATGAAGGCTGAAGAACAATAACAATCAGAAAATCAGTCTGATCCCAGATATATTTCACAGGCAGAAAGTTCTTTTTGAAACTGTGTTCTGCAACAGCCTGGATTAATACTATTATTTGAGGAGATCTGATAAAGCCACTACAGTACTTTAATACAAAGCAAGTAAACTGAAAGTCATCCTTTTATGACTGTACATGGTTTGTATAGCCACAGCATCAATATAGACTTCGGTGTCTGCTGAATGGTTTCATATCTGGAAGTGGCAGCTGAAACATTAGTAAACATTTCCTTAAACTGTGTTTATAAGATGTTGGACTCTAATTCCACACACCGAAAAGCTACATATTTTGTAGGGGTTGGATGCAGCCCTGAATAGGCTGATAGTGTCAAAAGGGTGATAAACTGATGCATCAGTTCCTCCATGGGGAATTCTCTTGTCAATCACCAACCTCCTTCAAAAAGAAAAAAAAATTGTTCATGCTGCTGCATCATTTCAGTGGGTTGGAATTCACACCTTGTCTCCATCCAGCTCTAACAGTGCCCCTTGTGTCATCAATTAAGAAGGCTCCCTTGTTCAGTCCTCACCCTTTTGCACTAGACTAACTTCTTAAAGAGAAGGAGTTATGAAAAGCCATAAGTATTCAGAGGGCAAAATGGTGTGCTGATGAAAAACTACAAATAAACCATTTGTATCCTCTTCTCTGCCTTCCTTATGCTCATTATCCAGACTAAAGGAATAACATTCAGATCATAGCTTCATGGTGCATGTGTGCCTTGCAAGGAAAAGTAACAACTCAGTCACACTCGCTTTTTGCTTTTACTAAATAATTGGAAGTTTTCTGAAGAGTATAAACAGCACATTGTTTGGAGAGCTCCGAATTTTCATATGACAGTAGGATCCTGCTGCCAGACTACTGTCCCCAATTTTATTTTCAATGCCCAGCCTCTACTCAAAGAAAAAAGTGTTCTGAGTTGTTACTGCATTGATGTGTCTATCAATGCAGCCTTGATTATATAATGTTCGAGGTGCTCAGTTTGATTCTGCCTGCAATACACATTATTATGAATCTTAGAAGCCTTTTTTTCCTTTTCCTACCAGGCATCACAAGTGCTATAACTGTTTTTCCAAGGTCTGAGTAGGTGAGGGCAGCACTGAGCCCTAGAGCAGAGGTGGGGCATTTTTGCGGGGTAAGGGGCTGCTGTCCCACAGAAAAATCAGTCAGGGACCGCACACAAGTGGCCCCGACTGAGAAGGAGAAAGACATTCCCCTTGTACACCAGAGCCTTGCGGGCGGCCAGACTAGTAGATTTTGTATGCTCCAGTCCCGCAGGGGGAAGGAGCACCAGCGCAGCTCCCCATTACTAGGGGGGAGCCCCGAGCCTCAGGGGCTGGATACAGGCAAGCCATCCCCTGGGCCTTAGGTTCCACACTCCTAGCCTAAGGGTATGATTCTGCTCATTTGTACTGGCTTAAATCAGGAGGGCTCCATTACAGCCAACAGTTACACAAGCAAGCTCAGAACTGGCCGTCTCCCTAATTCAGACTGTGACGCTCGGTGCTATTTCTGTCTGAAAAACCTCCGCAGTTTCCAATGTGAAGTGTAAGGATACCTGTACCTGGTGAAATTCTAAACACTGGAGCTTTGCTGTCTAGTCTGAAGCTGTAGAAGAGGAAATTAAAGAAAAAACAACAACAACCTGGAAACATGTTTTTGCTTTAAAGATGGTCTGGGTTGAAGTTATTCCCTGGTTTAATTTGTGTTGCCCAAACAATGAAACATTCTGCACTACATAAGCTGGCATGCACACATGGACCAATCAGTGATTCTCTCCTTTCACTACACACAGAACAGGACCACCACATGATTGGACAAAGGAAAGCAATTTTGTTAATTCAATACTGCTACTGAGGAACATTTTTCTAGAGAGACAGAAGGTTTTTTGTTTGTTTTTTCCTCCTGCGAATTCAGCTATGTGGAGACTATCTTTCATGGCTCGAAGAACTTTACAGTCTTCCTGTGAAAAGGCTAACGGTGTCCACTGTGGCTGAAATGAGATAACAATGGTTTAAAATCTACATAGAACAACAATCCAATGGAAAACTAAGAGAGGTTATAACATTGCATAAGGAAAAACACTTTTGACACAATCCATTTAGAGCAGGCCTGGGCAAAATATGGCCCCACCGGATCTGGGCTGTGGACGCTGCAGGGAGCCCCAGGCAGGCTCCTTGCTCACCTCTCCTCAACCGCACACTGCTCAGAAACGCAGCTGTGGGGTGTTTTTTCTTTAAAACTTTGAGTCTGGAGGGGAGGGGGGAAGCTTTAGGAGCTGCTCCCGCCCTCACAGCACAATCCCATTTGCCAGAAACTGGTCAATGGGAGCTGCCTGTTCAATAACAGGTGGTCATGAAGCACAAGGGGCTCCAGAGCACATGGCTGCAGCCTGTGCAGGGAAGGGGCAGGCAGGGAAGCGGATTCAAGAACAACTGATGTCTGGTAAGTCTCCTGGCAGAGCCTACCCCAGTCCCTCCCCCAATCATCTGTCCCCCACTCCTGCCCCCTATTCCACATACCCAAAACCTCTACCCCCCCTGTACCCATATCCCCTCCCAAATCCAGCACCCCAATCACCTGCCCAAGATATTCCACATACCCAAACCCTCTCCCCCCCCCTGTACCCATATCCCCTCCCAAATCCAGCACCCCAATCATCTGCCCAAGATCAGTTCCCTCCTGCTCTAGCTCACAACCCAAATCCCTACACCCTCTCCAATACCCCAATTCCCTGCTCTAGGTCACAATCCAACCCCCTGCATCGCAGTCCCGTGCCCCAGGTCATAACTGCCTCCTTCACCCAAACTCTCTCCCTTATCTCAAGTTCCCTTCTGCACCCAACCTCCATCCCAGATCCCACACCTCCTCCATTAATATCATGGAAGAGCATGGCCCTCGAACACTTTCCAAGTTCTTGGAGTACTCCCCCCTATCAAAAATTATTGCCCACTCCTGATTCAGAGGCATTGAAAGTGAAAAGAAAGGATTCTACAATCATATAAAGTGGTGTAAACCAGGAGTAACAGAAGTTATATCAGCACGATCAGAATTAAAGTCATGCATTTATACACTTTATTTATACATCTGCAGATGAGCTGCTTTCTGTTAACTTAGTTTGAAGTATTAAAACATTTGCTTACTTCACTTGAAAAACTTAATTTCTGTGTCAACACAGTCGTAGAAAAG